CTGGAGGTGCAATTCCTTCAAGGCTACTGGGTTCTACACCTTACAAACAGAGAAGCCAGGGCCCCAGGGCTAGGACCTCCAGAGCTTTCTATAACCTGCAAAGGGCGGGGCCGTCGTCCTCCTGCTGCACAGAGGAAAACAGGTGCTCACAGGACAACCATCGGTGGAGCTGGGATCCAGGCGTGTTCCAAAGTCCCGGTAGCCTCTACGCAAGCGACTCAGCAGGTCCCAACCAGGAGACGAGGATATTCGCACGTCACTGGGAGGATCCAGCCCTCACTCACCCCAGTGGTGCGCCCAATCGATTTACAATCGATGCTGCAAGACCCACAGCAGAGGGCGAAGGTGAGTCCTCCTGGGGAGACCTGGTCTCTGACCACAGGGGACTGTGGGTGGTGCAGGCCACCTGGCTCCCTGCTCTCGGGGTCTCAGTTCCCTCATCCCAGATCCCTTCCTGACACTGGGTGACCATTGTGACCTGAACTCCTATGTGACCTCTCGCTAGCCGTGGTCCGCATCCCGTGCTTCTGAGCCTTTAATGTGCGCACAGATCACTGAGTATACGTCAAAACACAGATTTTAATCCAGTAGTTTGGCCAGGAGGGAGTGTGAGACTGTGTTTCTAATTAGCTTGCAAACTGCTTAGCAATTTTCATAAATCAGATCACCTTAAAGTAGTGGTTCTCAACCTCCTGGCCCTTTCAATACAGTTCCTCATGTTGTGACCCAACCATACAATTATTTTCGTTGCTACTTCATAACTGTCATGTTGCTACTGTTATGAATCGTAATGTGAATATCTGCGATGCAGGATGGTCTTAGGCGACCCCTGTGAAAGGGTCCTTCGACCGCCAAAGGGGTCGCGACCCACAGGTTGAGAACCGCTGCCTTAAAGATCAAGGAGCAGGACCGTTTAAAAGCACCCTACAGTAAACCGTGCAAAAGCAAAACCTTGCCTCCACCAGTCAAACCAATCCCCATTTTTCAGTTCCGAGGTTTGCCTACATCGGCAGCAGGGTGCAGTGGGAGCACAGGGTTGGAGCCAGAAAGACACAGGTCCCAATCCCAGCTCTGCCACTGAGAACTGTGGGCTGTGGAAGTCCCTCCGCCGCTCTGAGGTCGAGTCCCATCTAAAAGACAGGACAACGACCCTGACCTCAGCACGAAAGGAGACGCGTGTATATAAAGCTCCATCACCGTGCCCGGTAAATATCAATCCTTCAGCTGAAGCAGGTGTGGGAAAAGGCACCCCAGGTGCCCGGGCACCTTTCCAACTGACCCCAAGTTCTCACCCTCCGGTGAGGCTGATGTTGCCTCCCGGACTCCATTTGAGGTGGGGCCTGAGCCAGGCCTCTGAGGAAGCCTGGAGAGGTCTCTGTGGCCCCCGCCTCCCTCCCTGCGGCTGCCTCGCGCTGGCTGGCCTGCTGCTCGCCAGGAGGGCTGGGAGCTGCACTGGCAGTAATCAAGCTCGTGTCCCTGCTGCTCGGAGGCGGCTCCAATCAGGGCCGCGGCGGGAGCCTTATTAGCTGCTCCCGCGCCTGGGCTTGCAGCGTGGCCCGAGGTGTTCCTCTCCGAGGGTCACCACGTGGCTGTGTGTGTGCGTGTGCGTGTGTACTGAGAAGGGGCCATGTCTGTGCTTCACTCTGACCTGAGCCAAGACAGAGGAAGGGGCGGAGCCTCAGGTCTTAGGGTTGGCCCTGAGCTGGGGCGGTGGCCAGCTGCCCCCAGGCCCCCCACTCACCTGTCGGGAGACCCGTCTGACAGGATTGCTCATCCCCCACTTAGCCCTTCTCCCCAGAAGGGGAATTGGGCCGAGTGAGCCCATCTCCTTTGCCTTTTCTTAGGAAAACATGGACCCACACGGGCAGCAACGTAGCCGACTGGGCAGCCAGTGACCTTGGGAGGTTAGACCAGCGAGGTGACCTTGAACGTCCCGTCAACCTGGAGGGGGACAGCCTATTCGGTACAGATGTGAGCTCTGGGCTTCGCTCCTGGGGCTTGAAATCTGTTGCTGGCAATGACTGGCCCTGTGGCCCTGGGCAAGCTGCTGAACTTCTCTTTCTGCCTCATCTTGCTCATCAGTAAAATGGGGATGGTAATTAGCACCTACACCAGAGCGGGTGTGATAAGCCAATGAGAAGAGGTGCAGAAAGCAAGTGCTCAGCACTCAAAAATGTCAGCTGTTCACGGAATCTGTGTGGGAGGGTGTCGTGTGGGGTCCCTTGGCCATCCCCTGCCACCACCCTGGTAGTGACCTCCTTCAGCCAGGGCCTCTGTGGGGCGGGATGCAGAGCTCTGCGCTCCCAGCTTCCTGACAGCTCATGCCTGCTGCTGGCTCTCCAGGATGGCGGAGCAGGGCCCTCGTTTTTTAAAATGCCCAGGAGACTCGCCAACCAGATTAGATGGGAAATGGCTCTGGAAATGCTGATGGGCCTCACGGCCACGCGGCCCTCCTCTAAGCCTTATTTCTTCGATAATTATTCATACAGGACCCCGAGGGGCAGGGCACGGAGCTCTGGGGTAACCGCAGGCCTGGAAGCAGGTCCTGCCTGTGCCTAACCAGCAGCGAGCCCTTCCTTTCTGTGACCGGCAGAGACCAGGCTCCAGGCACGTTGGGATGGTGCAGGCTGCTCCCGCTGAATTCACAGAGGGTCCCGGGGCCCCAGGACACGGTCTCTACGGCTCCCCAGCACAGCCCAGTTGACAGAACACGCCCCCGGACAGTCTAACTGCCAGGGTTTCTGCTTGGCAGTCTCTGAGGTCTCCAAGTCTTTCCATCTCTCATTTGAATTCTGTCCGTCGCACAGTTTAAATTCATTTCCTTTTCCTTAGGCCTCAGAAGTAGAACCAGTATCACAGAATCCACAGCGATTCAGGACTCAGCTCCTCTCCCAGTGCCCTTAGACTAGAGTTCAGGGAGGCGACCTACCAACGCCCTCTCCAGCAGCTTAACTTCTTTAGAGCTTGAAAGGGCAGGGCTGGGAGCCTGCAGGGACACCTTCAAGCCTGTCTGTGACCCCAACCACTCCACCCCACCCCTTCCTCTCGTCTACTTCCACTTCTGCTTATTATCTTAAATAACAAGTAGCAGCCCAGATTCAAAAGGACAGACACCCTAGCGCTATAAACAGGTACCTGTACCTGCCACAGTCAGCCTCTACCTGGTGGAAAGAAGTGACACCTGTGAAATGACTGGGGGCTATGGTCACAAACCTCCCTGGCCTTACCTTGCTGGGGCGGAAACTCTACCTTCTGATCACCCCCTGCATCATCTGGGGATTCACCCTCCCACCCGAAGCTCAAACAACTGTCTGTCTGGTTCATCCGACAGCCAATAAGCTCAAGATCCATGTTCCTTCACTACCTGCGCAGCCCTGGGGCGTATCCCCGGGGCCTCGTTTCCCCACTGGAACAGTGGAGAGAACAAAGCCCTTCCCCACGTGGGCCTCAGGTTTGTCTCGGAGCCAGCAGGGGTGAAAGGCCACACATGTGCGTTGGAGGCAGCGCTCGGCGTGGCCCCTGGCCAGTTGACCTGGCCTTCCTGATGAAGCGGTGAGTCCTGGCAGGTGGGAACGGAGCCTGCAGTCCCCTGCGGAGTCAGTCACCGCACACCTGGCTGGGGCAAACATGTGTCTGGGCCTCGCAGGCAGGTTCCCTTTTAAGCCCTCGTCTCTCCCGTTGTAAGAATTGCAAGTAGGAACCTACTGAAAGAGAGGGGGACCGGCTGGAAGGCACTGGCTCCCGAAGGGCAGGAAAGCCCAGGAGGGCACCTGTTATCCCCACACGCTTACCATCTTAACGCCTGAGCTGACACCTCTAATCTATAGCATGCGGAGAAACGGTATTTTCATTTCAGATGCCTATGATGGCTAGGAACAATACCAACAATATTATTTTAGTGCCCTGGGAAAAAATTAGCAAGTCAAATATTGAATCAGGCCTGTAGCACCACATGCTAAGCAGATTGCTTTGATCTTATCCACACTAAAAGCTCCATTATTGAGTTTAAAGTCAGGGAACACATCAGACCACAGACAACGAATATCTGAATGCACGTTTCCGAAGTAACGAATGTTCTGACTAAAGGAAAGAAAAAGATACTGAAGTTACAGCTGCGATTGAGACATAAATTTGCCCTCCTTCTCTTGGGCTGGCCAACCACAATGTTTGGCTCTGAAGGACCTGCTGAGCTCCCATTGCTCTGCAACCACCAACCAAGGGCTTTCTCATCCACATACTCAATCAGAAGACAGGAGTTTGAGAGGGAAAGCAGCCGGTGTGCACATTCTGCACATGGTGTGGCGCCCTCTGGTGGCCATTTATCTGGGAGGCCTACCTGGCTCCCCAAACTTCCAATGATTCAACCTTCCTCTCCTTCTTGAGGCCCCCCCCCCCCCCCAGGAAAAGGAGCTTCAGAGAGCGAGAGGGAGGGACGGAAGCAGCTGATCATGACGATCAAACCAGCTGATCGGAGGAAGAAAATGTTAGTTATCCAGCAGGGCCCAAAGAGAGACATAACGGTGGTAACCAACATACCTGGGATATCCTGCACTGCCCCGCCCCCAACCCCTCTAATCGCCAAGCTAAACAGCAAACACATACCCTAAGCCAGGGATATGGTGAACTACAACCTGCCGACCACATCTGCCCCCTGCCAGCTTGTGTACGGCTGAGTTAAGGGCAGTTTTTACATTTTTAAATGGTAAGAACTAATCTTTGTGACCCATGAGAGTGACATGAGCTTTCATCGTCAGTGTCCCGTTCGCTCATGGATGCCTTCACGCTACAACAGCACAGCAGCTGTGACAGCCCGTTGTGTGGCCTGCAAAGGTATATGGCCCTGTGCTCTGCTGTTCACAGGGCTGAGCCCCTGGAGTCTGGCCCCCTTGCCCACATGCCCACCCTGCAGCACGGTGACCCGGCTGAGGCAGTCTGCGTGACCCGGTGTGTAGATGGGGGGAGGGAGGCATCGCCTTTCAGCGCGACCCCTGCAAACTTACCATTTTATTATTGATTTCATGGAAATGAATCTCACAGACTTTCTCCACAACGTCTTCATTCTCAAAAGTGACAAAGCCAAACCCTAAAGGAAAAGGAAAAACAGAAACAAAAAAAGAGGGAGGGTGAGTTCAGTTCTGGCCGCCCACGCGTTTCTCTTTGTTGTCCTACAGTGGCCGCAGGCTCCTGGGCTGGGAGCTGGGAGTGCAGATCCCTGGGAGGGACCCCCAGAGGTGGAGGAAATGATTTCTAATTGGTACCCTGGCGACAGTGAGGAACAGTTAACGATTTCACCCACAGGCGGCGGGTGCTGTGTGGCTTCCATTTGCCCCCAAGCAGACAAGACATTTTCTTGTCTGTCATTTGCAAGGTGGCCGGCTGGTGGGCAGCCCACAGCGGCGGGCTCACCGCGGGGCCACGCTTGCCCTTTCTGCTGGAATGGCCAGCCCTCCGGTCGGCCTCCAGACGGAGACCGTTATTTGTCCTTTTCTTCCTGAATTACTTCCTCTAATACCTCATCAGGACATCCTGGGGCCTGGAAGAAACTATTAAAAGTTTCAGGCCTCTATTCTGCGCAGGCATCCTTTTTCTACTGCTGCTTCAAACGCGCTACAGGTTTGGGGCAGTTTAAGACTGTTTGATGCCTGCTGTCAGCCTGTCGGCTATCCGCTGAATGCACTCGGCTGGAGACCGCCTTTGCTAGACGAGCCGAACTGGGGAATTTTGGCAGACGACCACTGCTCAGCATCCCGAGTTCCTCTTGCTACCCTCCTGCCCCTCGCTTTCTTCTCTTCCTGCCCCCGACAGGGTCTCCAGCACGCAGCCCCATCTGTGACCCTGCTGGCAGGCGCTGCTCTAGCACATGGACCTGCTTGCAGGATGGCACCCCACCTCGATGAAACACAACTACAGTGTCAGTGCCAACAGGCAGAGCACACAGACCCTGATGGGGAGGCAGGGGGCCTGGGTTCCAGTTCTGACTCGGCTTTGGCTTCCAACCTACGTGTCACCTCTGAGCCAGGGGTCCTGCACCGGCAGATTATGGTGGTGAGACTGGACACTGGGTCCCACACCTTGAGTCACAACCCAAGTCAGGATTTGCAGGGCTCTCTGCGACGGGCTGAATGTGTGGGTCCCCTTCCTGCAAGTTCATAGGCTGACATTGCAGCGTAAGGTACTGAGGGCCTTTAGGAGACATTTAGGGCACCATGGGAGGGCCCTGATGAATGGATGAGTGGAGAAAAGATGCGGAGGAGACGCCAAGGAGATGGCTGTTTGTAACCAGGAAGCAAGCTTTCACCAAAACTCTACCGAGCTGGCACACCGACCGTGGCCTTCCAGCCTCCAGAACCGTGAGAAACATGCTTCTGTGGCGCACAAGCCTCCCCGTCTGACGAACTTTGTAAAAGCAGCTCAAACACAGGGAGACGCTCTCCTCTCCGGAGATGTGAGCCTGGCCGAACGTGAGCCTGTGCGTGGAGGAGGCCGCGATCAACAAGACAACTTCCCCCCGAAAGGCACACGTCGGAGGTTCCCACTCATGGAGAGCACCTCCTCTGTACAGACCTCCTCCTCCCTCACGACCCTCACTCTGGCCTGGGGGTGGGTCACTCCGGGTCTCACTTTCCTCAAGCCTGGACCCCAGCCCAGGCAACCTGTGAATCCCTACGCAAGCCAGGGCAGGTCAGTTCTTGTCGATAAGGACGAGTGCAATGGGTTGAATCGTCTCCCCTGTCCCCCTCCCCACAATATATCCATGTCCTAACTCCTGGAACCTACAAACGTGATCTTATTTGTGGAAAAGCGTTTTTGAAAATTTAATTAAGGGTCTTAGGGTGGGTCCTAAATCCAATGGGCAGGTGTACTTATAAGAGAAAGGAGCAGACTGGGGATGCAGAGTGGAGCAGAGATTGGAGGGGTGCAGCCACAAGCCAAGGAATGCCCGAGCCACCAGGAGCTGGGAGAGGAGAGGTAAGGCAAGTCGCCACAGGGGTCAGGAGCTGAGTTCACTGCCACGGAAGTGTCTTTGTGCTGCGACCCATGCCTTCCTGGCCCGCTGTGCGCTGTGCAAATAAATCGCTGCCCCAGCTCCAGGCCCAACCCCATTCAGGACTCCCACTACCCTAAGCTCCCACTCGGCGCCAGCGCCTGGGGACAGGAAGAGGCGTGCGGAGCTAGGAGACGGATTAGAATGCAGACTGTGCACCGGGAAGGCGGGGGCAGGACTCGGGGCATCATTTCAAATTCTGACTCCCGATATTCTCCCTCGGGTCCCTCCCCTAAGCCACAGGCTCAAAATTCGAGGATCACAAAACTGATTTTCCTGATCAAAGGAGAGCGCCTCAGATGCACACCAGCTCAGCGATGTCGGGCTCACTGGCAGTGTTTTAAAGATCTCTATCACTTTACCATCCCTGTCTGTTTGGCCCAGACAGAGAAAGCAAACTTGATTATGCCGAAGATATTTATTTATTCCATTCGGAGAAACCAAAGAAACAGTTATCAATAAATGTTACTCGTAACGTGCGATCATTTCTATCTCACAGGTGCCCTATCACTTACAATGGAACAGTAACCCAGTGATGAACAATAAATTAAACCAAATAAATTAAACTGAGGCGTGAGAGGGAAAACAAGAACAACAGGAATCTGGGAGGCGTAGGGTGGTAGGTGGGAAAAATCCCTTTTTGGCATCCATGTCTGATTTTTTGAAAATTTTCTATTGGGTGAAATATACATAACAAAATTCACTATTTTTTCCATTTTAAGTGTACAGTTTAGTCCGCTATTGTGCAGCCATCACTAACACCCATTTCCAGAACTTTCCCACCAACCGAAACCGTCCCCATTAAGCAGTAACTCCCCATTCCTCCTCCCTCGGTCCCCGGTAACCTCTGCTCTGCTGCCTGTTTCTGTGGATTTGACTATGGGCACCTCAGGTAAGTGGGATCCGACAGTATGTGTCCTCCTGCCGCTGGTCTGTCTCCCTCAGCATCGTGGTCTCCCGGACAATGTGCTGGGGGAGCCTTCCTGACAAGGGGCAGGGAGGACTCATTATTTCCCTCCCGCTTCCCCAAAAGAGAGCCCCACAGAGGCTCAGAAACGGGGCTTAGGGAAGCTCGCGAGACTGCGGCGTAGCAGCCGGGTAAGAGAAATGCATAATTATTCTCTCAAAAGCGGCAAACAATAAGCCATGTGCCCCTGGAGGCTCCCGTCGCCTCTCTGGGCCTCTGAAAGGAGCAGGAGCCGGGCAGAGGAGCAGGGGACAGGCGGTCCTGCTCCGGTCCCGGCCAAGGAAGGACTTGGATCTACGGTGCGTCTCCACGAGCTCACACTCCACCCGGGCCCTCTGGGGTCCCCGTGAACACCCCCACTCCTGTCAACTGGTACCCTAACTGCTCAGGGTACCAGCTGATAGGGAGCATTTAAAAACGAAATTCTACATCATTCTCCTGAATGAAGCTAACAGTATGCTCTATTTAAGAGATAAGCATTTAACAGTCCAATCCTTTCTCTCTCTTTTATTCAAATGAACAACACTGAATATTCATCTGAATAATACAAAGCTATAAACACACCCACACAGGCACACAGAAGAGAACAGATATCTGAAAACAAGGTACCTCAAAATTAAAATGACCCGCTCCAAAGGCAGTCGCCGAGGAACACCCGGCAGTTAATTTACAAAAAATTCTTTTTTAGGTCAGGGAGGGAGAGATGGGAAACGGCTTCCTCCTCGCCTCAAAAATAATTTTCTTCTCTTATCATATAGGTCAATGAACACTAATAGGCATTGAGCAGCGCCTAATGCATCCTCAGTGAAAATCAATGCAAAGCCTGAGTTAACACACTTGGTTAATGGGGGGAAAGTGAGGGGAATAACACACACCCGGCTTGTTGAGCGGATTCTGACTGTGCCCACTAGGAATTTAAGGACGGTGGGTGCTAGCATATTTATAACTCAGGCAACCTCCTTCCCCCGTGAATAACTCGGTGCTGAAGGGCGGGGCAGCACCTGTGGGCCGCTTCCAGGGTAAACATGAGAGACGTGGGTTTGGGGTGGGGAGTGCTTTCTGGCTCTCTTGACTCCGTAAGACGGGTTTGGTGGCCCCCATGGCTCAGAGCGGCCCTGAGGCATGGGGGTCTGTGGGCTTCGTCACAGTCGACTCTCAGTGCGCGTCTGATAGTTGGCATTTCAACTCAGGGCGCCACCATCCCCAGCTCAGAGCGTTACGGAGCCCCCTCTCTGGGCTAGGGCGGCCTTCCGCTGCCTGAAGGGTCTTCCTGGAACCCTGGGTGGGGAAGGTCTCAGACCCCACCCTGCAGGCCCCTCCGACCAGGACAGAGGTGAGCACAGTGGGACGGGCGGCTTCACATGCCCTGGATTTGCCCTAAAAATAGAACTCAGAAGATCGATTGGTTCCGAGAACAAAACAAGCTGGCTCCCCAAAAGGGACGGTGTGTCTCCGACTGCGGCGGGCCGCTCCGGGAGGCTCAGCGCACGCTCCCTGCACTCAGTGAAGTCCGGTGTGAGCTGCCAGTCGAGTTTCCCGAGCATCTTCAGACGCTAGACCCCGGGCGAGCGATGGGGCCACAGTCCCCGCTATGTCTGCCTCCAGGCCCGAACGGTAACCTGGACTTTGGTACGTGAGAATCCCGTTTCCCACCAAGCCACGCATGGTGCCTCCCGTTATCATTTCTAACGTCCGGTATCCCCAGGGCAGTTGGTTATTATCAGGTCGCATTCTAATAACCATTCTGAAGAGAGAGCGTATCTGCATGGACTGAGCAGCTGTTCTTTAACTCAGTCTTCG